TCATGAACTTGTATGTAGGTTGGTGCTGTATAGTTGCCAAGAAAATTCTCAACAACATCTTGAATATTTTCCAAATGGTTTTCTCTGGCCCCACTAACAGATATTTTAACCACTTGTCATTGATGACATATCTGATCTGTGGACCAGCAAAAATGCCTTCCTTAATCTTGGCATCAGTTTTTCTTAACTATATTATACTTTTTATGTGTGGCCCAAGATAATTCCTCTTCATTTAGTATGGCCCAGGCAAGTGTGATGATAGATAGATAGATAGATAACAGTGGTGGGATTCAAATTTTATTTTTTTTAACCACCGATTTTGTGGGCATGGCTTGCTGAGTGTGGCAGGGGAAGAATACTGTAAAATCTCCAGTCAGAGGTGGTATTTGCCGGTTCTCTGAACTACTCAAAATTTCTGCTACCGGTTCTTCAGAACTGGTCAGAACCTGCTGAATGCCATCTCTGATAGATAGATAGATAGATAGATAGATAGATAGATAGATAGATAGATAGATAGATAGTTTGCAGTAAATATTTTTTCTTTGCACCCTAGGAGAAAAATATCTGCCACTACCTTGGATTGAACTCTCAACCTTCCAAATTGGAGGTGAGCATCTTCATCACTAGGCCACCACACCACTCAGTAAAATGTTCAGCTCCATCCAATTGCCTCACCTCTTCCCCAAATTAAGTCTCTTTGCATTGAGTCCTGCTGATTTCATAAGCATATTCAAGTTGTTTTCTTGACAATCATATAGAAGCACCTTGTCCCTGCTTTCCTTTGGAATGTTTCTTGATTTTCTAAGCTGGAGTGCAGCCCTTTTATTTCTCAGTGACCTCTTATGCACTTGCTAATCAAGTCTGACTTTTCTCAGGAGCTTTGTATCAACACAAGTCTATTGGGCATGCCATCTAACTTGGCTTCCAGCATGGTAGATATTGCGGGTGGAAGGAAAATGCACTGTGTTAAATATTGATAGTGATATTAACAGCAGGCATTCATGAATGTGTTAGGTGATAAGATGAATATATTTCCATTAGAGAGCTAGTTAGCACATATTTAAGAGGTTGTAATGCATGAAGTTGGCATATATTTATAGTAACTACTGCAGTATTAATAGCAACTGAGCTATTTTCTTTTGTCAAGCAAAGAGGATTGTGTCTTTGCTTTAAGCCTCATGTAATTATTTATGGCAATATTTATGCAACATGTTGAACCAGTTAAACTAAGCCAGGTAAGGTATTTTAGTATTTATTTGATTTGTCAATCGCTTACAAGATAAAGGTATAAGAATAAATATAGTTTTGAATACATGAGATAGATACTTATAAGAAAAATAAAAAAAACAATAGGACAAGGACGGGAGGCACGATTGGTGTGCTTATGCACGTCCCCTACAGGCCTCTTAGGAAGGGGTTGAGGTCAATAGTAGACAGTCTAAGGTTAAAGTTTTGGGGGTTTGGGGAAGAAACCACAGAGTCAGGTAGAGTATTCCAAACATTGGCCACTCTGTTGCTAAAATCGTATTTTCTGCAGTCAAGTTTGGTGCGATTAACCTTGAGTTTGTATCTATTGTTTACTCTTGTATTGTTATGATTAAAGCTGAAGTATTCATTTGCAGGTAGGACATTGCAATGTATGATTTTATATTCTATATTTAGATCGGACCGGAGGCGATGTAGTTCTAGGTTTTCTAAGTCTAGAGTTTCAAGTCTGGTGGCATAAGGTATTCTGCAATGAGTAGAGGAGCGGAGAACTTTTATTGTGAAATATTTCTGGACTTTTTCAATTGTGTTAATATCAGATACATGATATGGGTTCCAGACTGATGAGCTGTATTCAAGTATAGGTCTAGCAAATGTTTTGTATGCTCTAGTTAGTAGTGTGATATTACCAGAGAAGAAGCTATGTGGGATTAGATTAACAACTCTTAATGCCTTTTTGGCTATGTAGTTACAGTGGGCTCTAGAACTTAGCTCATTTGAGATGAGTACTCCAAGGTTCTTGACAGAGTTTGGATCCTCAACAAGGATCTAGCTTGTATTTTATTTTCTGTTTTTTTCTGCCAATATGTAAGACAGAGGATTTATTTGTTGAGATTTGAAGTTGCCATTTGATTGACCATTCTGGTACATAGTCAAGGTTTTTTTGGAGGGTAGTAGTATTGTCTGTGATGTTGAATAGCTTTACATCATCACCGAAGAGAACGCAGTTGTTCTTAATATGATCACAGAGGTCATTTATGTAGAGTATGAAGAGAGTTGGTCCTAAAACACTGCCTTGGGAGACACCACTGTTGACAGGTACAGAATTTGATAGGATGCTCCCAGTTTTGACCATTTGTTTGACAGGAATGCTTCTATCCAGTTATGTAAGTGTCCAGAGATACCGCAAGATTTTAGTTTTAGTAGTAGTTTGTCGTGTACCACTGAATCAAAGACTTTACAGAAGTCTATGGAGATTGCGTCTATTGCTTTGCCCTGATCGAGTTGTGTAGTCCATATGTTTTTGCAGTGTAAGAGTTGCAGATTGCAGGATAGTTTTTTTCTGAAACCAAATTGTTTATTAGAAAGTTGTTTGTTTGTCTCCAAGTGGAGGATAATGGATTGGTTAATAATTGATTCCATGACTTTACAGGTGATGCAGCATGAAGAGATTGGTCTGTAATTTTCAAGTAGGCTGGTGTCTCCCTTTTTGAAGATGGGGATGACTGTGACTTTTGACCATAGGTTAGGCAAGGAGCTGGTCTTGAAATATTTTTCAAAGATTATGTTTAGAGGTTCAGCTATGGCAGTGGATAGCTTTTTTAAGCACATATTCCGTCCGGTCCAACAGATAGGGATGGTTTTAGATTGTGCAGTGCTTTTTCAACAATGTCTTCTGTAAAATCGATATGTATTAGATTATTGTAGCTGTCTGGTTTGACTAGGAAGTACAGGGCTTGATCCACTGCTGTTTACAAATACTGAGCCAAAGAATGTGTTAAAGAGGTTTGATTTGATGGTGTCATCGTTGCAGTCTTTGCCATTAGGTCCTTTCAGGGGTGGGATGGAACTTGAATCTTTGAGTTTGTTGTTTACAAAATTGTAGAAAGCACGGGTGGAATTTGTGCGTAGAAGGTTTTCCTCTTCTTTAATGTGATAATTAGTGCATTCAGTTTCAGTTGGTGGCATAGATTTTTGTATCAGCTTTTGAAGTTGGCAACGTGACCAGATTTGTTTTTTCACCAAAGTGATCTCTTTTTGGATTGAAGCTTCCTTATTGTTATGGGTAATCTGTTTTTCCTGGTTTTGGGAGTTGTTATTGGTACATATAGTTTGATGGCTCTTTTGATTTCTAGTAAGAATATGTTGTAATAGTCTTCAACAGTATTGCATCCAGTGAATAGAAATTGCCAATCAAGGGAAGAGAGATCGTTGATTGTAAGATCATAGCTGCCTTTTTTGAAGTTATAATTGGGGATTTTGTCATTGTGATGATTTTTGTGTGGACGTATGTTGAGACAAAAGTCAATCATGTTGTGGTCACTGTTGGAAAAGGGTTCTTTAATTTGTATTCTGTAAATTGAATTCAAACTATTGCAGAAGATGAGATCGAGGCAGTTGTTAAGCCTAGTATTGTTGGTTACTAGTTGTTCCAATCCCAGATTTGTTACAGCATTGTAGAAGGTTGCATGTGTGGGTTCAGTTGTACATTCTTTTAGGGTCCAGTTAATATGAGGTAGATTGAAGTCACCAAGAAAGATAAAAGCATGTGGGCAGGATGCTGCCCATGTTAGTAGTGTATTTAGCTTGCTTACATGTTCAGTGTCATAATCAGGGGCTCTGTAACATAGTAAGAACTGAAATGTGATATGTAAGGTCAGTTCGCAGATAATAGTCTCAGGAAAAGCAAGCTCTTGGGTAACTTGGATGTTTTTTAGATGTAAGGACTCTTTATAGAAGATAGCAACACCAACTCCTCTACGGATTTCACGATTGGATCGGTAAACATGATAGTCTCTTACTGAGGTAATGGAGTCAGGAAGAGATGTGTTGAGCCATGTTTCACAGACAAATATGATGTCGAATTTAGCCATATTTAGTAAGAGGAAAAATTCAGGTATTTTATTTACAAGGCTTCCTGCATTGAGTAGCCTGCATTTAAGGCCAGTTGTAGTTTGAATTGAGGGAGTTGGGGGCGTGCGTGCCTAGTCTTGGGTGATGGTGGATTGGTTGAAGAAGGTTTGGATGCTGAGTTGTGGGTTGTGTGACTTTCTTTTGATACAGTCTGCATGGTAATCAATGTACAGGTCCTTCTCTCCATTGCCTAGACGATTTTTGATTTCTGTGCGTAGTATACGGGAACGGGCATGTTGCTGTAAGGTTAGGTCAGGACGAGATTGGAGGTTTTTATGGTTGGTGTTGTTTTTGGTGAGTGAATTTATAGTATAAATGAATTTATGTTTGCTTAATTCATTTTTGCAAATGACTCTGCAGAAGCATGGGGCCACAGAGCTGTCTCTGTTTTTGAGCTCTCGGCCAATGCAAGAAATGTCAAGTATTTCATCAGGGGAGATGGTTGATGCTTGATAGCCACTGATGATGTTGCGGACAATTGTGATATCGTCATTGTTATTGATGTCCTCTAGACCATTAAGATGGCATTAGGACGTTTTCGTTCACGCTGGACAGCTTCTCTGACAAGGATTGGGATATCATTATTTGTTGGATTTATGGTGTTTTGTGGATTAGGTTGCAGTTGTTGGTTTGTAGCTATGTATGTAGAATGAATGGAGTTGAAAATAATAGAATTATTATTATATACCTTTCCAAATATTCTAGTCTAGATGTCTCCAAGTTTTTTAATGCAATGTTCAATCCATGCACTAAGTAATTCAGCTGGACTTCTCCAGGGACATACTGTAGACTCTCTAGATGCAGCTTCAACAATGCAATAATTTCACCATTCCTCAATTTCTAACTGTTCCTTCTTTCCTATTTTTTTTTTTTCATTTTAGGTTATGTTGAACAGCCTTGCACTGTACCTTGTCCATTTGACTGCAAATTAAGTGACTGGTCTGACTGGTCTCCTTGTAGTTCATCGTGTGGGACAGGAGTGAAAATTCGGTCCAGGTGGCTTAAGGAGAAACCATACAATGGAGGGCGCCCTTGTCCAAAACTAGACCCAAAGAATCAGGTGAGGTGTATCCTAAAGCCAATATACCAATTTGGAATTGATCTTCTATATCTAAATCATTCTGTGATTGATACAGTAGAATCCCTCTCGTAAGGGTTGTATAGTTTCCTTTAACTGTCTCTCTTATTGCAGATGCATGCTAGAATAGTTAAACTTTTGAAAGGTTTTCTTATTTACAAAGCTATTAAACACTCCATAAAAGATTATTCATTAATAATAGCATATCTTGCCTCCAAACCTAAAACAGCTAAGTCTGGTTAGTGAGATCAGACACCGCAAATAATATTTAAAACAACCTGTGAAACCTAGTTTTTTTTTCTTGAATTATTCTTTGAAGATATTTCCCCTACTAATTCAATTTCACTCATTCTAATAAGTTTCTGTCTGACAATTACATGCTAATTTTCAAATGTGTATTCTATTATAAAAGGATGCCAATATAAATGGGAATATTCAAATGGAAAATTAGGAGTAAAATATTTTTCAATTAATGTTGTAATTTAATGTAATAAAGGATCTTTGCAGTTAATACAGATAGGAGATTATTTCCATTCATACAATTTAAAATGTTTAATGCTTTTTAAAGACTATTGAAACCAAAACAGAAGTAGTCTTCTTTTTTATGATTATTTTCTTTTAAAAAGATCAGTCTCGATTCATTTCACTCTTTTTATGATTTTAATACAAATATAGTTGTGTTTGGAAGAGCTTTTTAAGTTTACAGTACCCTAAATAGGGCTATGCAGAATCTTCCAAAGAGACCTGCATAGGAGTTCACACAAAGAATTTCTTTTCAAAGTTGGCTGAGGTAGTAGCCTTATTGTTTGTTAGTTATATGTCTGCTATTTGAAAAGAGGTTTTATTCATACCTGTTTGGAAGGTTTGCTCAACCTGAACCTTGAGTTCAAAAAGGAAAGATCCCTGTCCAGAAAGAAGAAAACAGTATAAGCCATTTTTTTCCCCTTCCTCTGATTGCAATTTTGACCTGGTCATTTTTAGCACAATCATATGTTAACACAGAGCAAGAAATATTTCAAGTGACTGCTTTAATTCCTAGATTTAGTTCATGCACTACTCACACATGTTTCTCTTCATCCTTCCATCACCCTGTTGTGTTGAATAGTAGCTGTGATGCTTAGCCTGAACTCTATAATTACGTACCTGGGCAAAGTTTGTTGATTGAAAAAAAAATGATCATAGATTTTAAAAGTATATATGCATATTGGCCCTCTTTCAAAATAAATGTTCTACTCATGAATGGAAAGCATGAAAATATTAGAGTCATCCTATGTCCAGTCAGGATTTGTGCATGAGATTGTTAGACTGACTTATTTTTGGGACAAATGACCAGACAAGACCACTCAGAGTTATTCTTTGTTGGTCTAAATCAGAGATGGACATTTCACCTTCAGTGCTCTTCACCATTAGCTGCGTCGATAAACTCAAATCTTTAAATCTGAAACCCAAATGTCAGCCACTCTAGAATACATGATAATAGCAAACTGTAGATTGCCGGTTGCATAGCCAGCACATGTACGGTCCAAGATAGCCAACCCTAACCTGTAGACTTCTAAAATTGATTAACTTTACCTTTCTGAATTTCTAGCCAGTATGGCCATCACCCATGCTAGCTGTGAATTCTGGAATTTGTAGCTGAACATAATTGGAAAGCATTAGGTTGAAGAAACTTGCCATCATCATCATCATCATCATCATTTAATCTTTAGTGAAATTCACAGCCTTTGGGGCTGGTTGGTAGCTAAACAGCTCGAGTCCTAACTAAGGACCTAGGAACTGTTCAGGTAGCATCGGAGGATATAAGCTGTTCCAAGTAGGGTGTTTTTTGTAGAAATTATTATTATTATTATTATTATTATTATTATTATTATTATTATTATT